CGGAGTCGTGCTTCCACAAAATTAACGGAACTACCCGGAACCGGCCGTTTCCAGGTCGGACTGTTCGACCTGGGTAGTATATGGGGTAATACGACTCTTTTTTCGATGTTGTATTCGGATAGGCATTATTTTTCGTATGGTTGTGTATTGGATTGTTTTCATTGACTCGTTTCGTAGTCAACGGTGGACGTAAGCGTATTTTGGCTATTGTGCACTTCATTCTGTATACTTTCGATTCTTCGAATTAAATGTTTGGGCGCATTCTATGGCCTGGATGTATGATTTCGTTTTATTTCGTCGTTGTTTTCTTTCTCTCTTAGAATTTCTTTTATTGCGTTCACTTTTATCACAAATCGAGTGGTTTAATTTTTAGAATAAACCATTTAGATAGATATTCTTTGTATAGAAATTATAGCATTGCAGGAAATGGGCGTGGGTGTGTGTAGACCCGTTGTCCGCCTATCCCGACATCCACACTTTCTATCTTGTGGGTGTGGGTGTAGACCCGCGTATATCCGCCTTTCATCACACTCACACCGACACCCTCCCACCAAACTCTATAAAAAGGAAATATAAATGTATTCCTAACTTATAAATGGACTGCGAATTTGACGATCTTTTCCTTTGCTCTGGAATAGTTTTTAAATGGTCGCGGTTTTTTTTCGTTTATTTTCGAATTGTGAGTATGAGTAGTTACTAGATGTCGATTTATATTCAAAGTCGAACTAGGCATCTCTTGCACAGGAATTATAATTCTTTCAAATTTCTTTTAGCATAGTTTTAAGTTCTATGTTCTGAAAGAGGAAACTATAGGACGACACTTTTACTGATTACAGGTATCATAATAATCGAGTTTTCTGCACTCGGCCTGTCCAAGCGTGACGGAATCACGTTTTTTCATTTTGTATTTTGAATATCTCAACTTAATGAAATTGAATGAAACTGAAATTTTCAAAATATATTCAAGTTTCATTGCTCTATATACCCTTAAAGTTTCATAGAATTCGAAGCTTCCGTGAGAATATTATAATTAAAATATAGATGCGTTACGGAATCACCAAAAATGGTCTTCCAAATTGAGTCCTATGTGAAGAACTAAAAAATTTAGCTCAACTAAAACTGCGAAGGAAAAACTCTCAATAGGAAAGTTATAGTGGAGATGACATTCTATCAGTAGAAAAAAAGAAAATTTAAAGTATGTAAAATTATGCTTTTGAATAGTGGGAAAAGTTTCGTAACGGAATCACCATTTTCGTCACGGGATCACTTTTCTAAAATGTTCATGTTGTTTTTAGTGTCTATTTCTTAAGAAATTTGGCTATAATCTCCAAAAATCAACACATTTGTATTACTCATAGAGATGTACAAAATGAGTGCCGATTCAGATCATCGGGACTGGGACCGAAAGCATTAACTGTACCGAGGTCAGAACCCAAAAAACTTAACTATACCATGGCTGAGACCTAGACCAAAGCAAAAGTGGTCCCGTCAAGAGGAAGACAGTGAGATTTTCGTACTCCGGAGTTCAGGTGAAGTCGGGGAGGAGTACAGTAAAGTAGGCCTAAGTTACAGCTGTAGTAAAGAAATAAAAAATATGAGCATTGAAGAAACATTAAAAATGTGAGAAAATAATGTTGAAGCATGTTTTTCTAAATAGGCACAGGCTGTAGATTCGTTAGAATCACATAACCGGAATAAAACACGAAACTTCACCCGAACAAAGACCAGAATGACAAAAAGTGTGCCGGGACTTTGGTCGGGATAGGGACCAAAAATAATGTTGCCTCGTGTATCTCTGATTACTCGTGAGAAATTAATCGAGAAAAGCCATTTTACATTGGTCATTCTGATAAAGTGAAAACTGTATTTCAGAAGTATAAGATACATATCAGATATCACCCATAAAATGGCATCTTCAATTGCGGTAATAAAAATAATTTCAAACCGTCAGAAATCAACTTCGGAATTAAGTAGTGAGGCTTTAAAATTCCATTAGCTATATAAGAAATATAGCCAAGATGTAAGATAAGAGAAAAACAATGTTTCCATTTTTTTTAGGAGAATGTACTTGTACAACCCAAAGGTGATTCCACCACGCGCTCTATAACGAACCAGAGATTTTTATCAAAAGCCAACAAGTTCTGTGGATAGAGCGGAAAAAATCAGCGTTAGAGCGCGCATTCGTAGAATCATAAATATCTTGCTTTCGGCTAAGAGTGAGTTACAGCATATTTTCGTTACGGAATCCCAATCAAAAATTAACTACTTTTGAAATATAAATATTTTTCTTCAGGAACAACAATATCTGGATCTCTTCTTATAGTTAAAGAGCCTGCTCTACATAGTTCTAAAATATGCGATCGGCTTTGAAAAATATCATATTTGTCTGCATGACAAAACACAAAATACAAGCTCTTGATAAATATGTATATTCATCGATACAGAGTGATACTTATTGAACAATATATGCAGCTACTGAGATAAAAAGTACACTTCTGTGTACTGTCGATGATGCTCTACAAGATGGTTAAATTTATTTTACTAAATTTTGACGTTCAACTTTGCTACATAGGTGAACCGTTACAAAGATGCCAGTCTGGCCTGCTAGCCTGCCAGGCCAGGCTACAGAACCAGGCTGCTTTTTCACATATTAGCCTGGCCTCCATCAGACCGGGCCAGGCTAACGTGTCTAGCCTGCTCAAATTTGACTTGGAATGACTTTATCTGCTGAATTCTGTATTACCCATGCAGCCGATAATGTGAAATAATGGACATTATTTTCCATTATATTCATAAATAATCTGCATAATGTAAATAAAATGCAACCTATTTCATGCACTATCTTCCAAATAATGGTAAAATTTGAAATAATTCATTAAAAAACAATGGATTATTGGAAAATTTTCCTATTATTTTACATTATCGGCTACATGGGTAGGTATCGTCATGATCCATTTGCAAATTCAGAAAAAAAAGAAAGCGAATAACGATTGGATTGAATTTACTCCCACGATTATCACTAAAGGTACAATAAATAAGCTATATCAAAGAAACGAAGACAAGGTAGTCAATGCATTTTAACCTTTTATTACTTTATAACAGTTCATATTTTATAAATTGTTTAATAGCGGTTGTTTCTTATGTGAAATACTAGTGATGTTAATTCAGGAAGTTTTTATTTTTTCAATATATAAAACAACTTTTTAATATTATTACTATTAAGAAAGGAAAGAAATAATCACATTAATCCTCAACATCACGACCAAAATTGAACCTAATGAATATGTTATAAAAATACACATCACTTTTTTGGTTTCATGTATGCCTGCAGGACAGGCCTGGCAACAGATTGGCCTGGGCTGGTCGTAGCAGGTCAGGTCAGGCCGGAAAAAAGTAGCCTGTTGGCATCTCTGGTCAGTACTATCAGTCTCGCAACAGTCGTATTTTTTCACTATTTATTAATTGTTTTCTGTTGTCTTGTAGTCTTTTGTTTTTTTTTCTTCATTTTGTTTTTTCTTTGAAAATTTTCTCGTTTCTTTTTCCTTTTGTTTTGTTTTCTTCATCATTTGATTGATATGTAATACCAGGGTTGTCAGCTGTTCAGGTCCCAAATGGGGTACACTGGTTTCGGAATGGGGTACACGTTAGGTACAACTCAATTTTAAATGGGGTACATTCATGAGGTACGCAGTTTATATCTTTCACGCTGGTCATCGGCTGCGGAAATCAATTTCGAAAACTATTTTCAATCAGGAAGGGGCATTCTCAGTTTTTCGCTTTACTATAAAGTTTAGCTTTCAAATTGAAATCTTTATTTTCTAATAAATATGTTCACAATAAAATTTCATTTTGTCATACATATATTCAATTCAATCATAATAAAACAATGCTTACTCAAAGCGAACCTTCTCGATTTATAGTTACACTAACTGTTGCACGCTTTTTTTTCGAAACTGTATTTTTGTTGCCTTTTGTCACACTTTATCAGTTGCGATTATGTTTGAGCAAAAGAGAAAAATCTTCACATGTCATAGTACTATTAAATCTGATTTTAAATTCAGCAGCTATCGTTTCATTCACTGTCAAATCACGACTGGCTGTCCATACGCTTTTTCTTTGATTAAAAACGCCTTCAACAAATGCATTCGAGCAAGGAATTGAGTACACATAAGAAATAATTTTGTACATTTCAATACACATTGGTTTCGACTTTACAAGAAAAAAAGCCCAAAATTGATCAGACCGAAATTCCACTTCTCTTTCATGATTTCCGGTCGTCGATTTGTGAATGAGATTATCTTCATCATGAAACTCGTTGCATATGTCATTGTTAAATTCTTCATAAACATGACCATTAGTAGCCAACCAATATAATTGACGCTTCACATCTTTATCAATAGTAAATGTCGAATAAAGAGACAGAAATTTTCTTAGTTTCAACCAAAATATGGATGATAGTAGTCGTAACATTGAAAACTGCAGATGGGGTACAAAATGCGTACCTCAGAGGTACAATTTTTTTGAGGTACAAAAGGCTCAAATAGGGTACTGTACCCCGAAATGGGGTACGGCTGGCAACCCTGGTTTGTGTGTGTGTGTGTGTAGAAAACTATGAAATATGCATACCCACACCCTTTTTTGTGAACTCTTACATAAAATTCGTATCATCAACTACGGGTGAGTATGAGAGTTGTTTTCATTGATACCTACATTGTCAATATAATAAAGGTTTAAAAGAATGACGAACACGTATATCGATACAATATTATTGGAGTATTATTTTTTTGCCAAATCATGATGAAATGATGATTTAGTTTTAATGTATACTTAGAAAAAAAACAGGTGACAAATTGATACATATATATCAATAGATTTTATATTGGTATCATATAGTCTCCAATAACAGAGATAAAAATGGAATGTTTTTACCATTCGTAATAGATCACATGGCATCATTTAACTTTATATTTTTTTTAGTTTATTTCTAGAAGCTTTGAATAATGAAAATCTTATTGTGTTTAATATCATTTATTCTACATTGCCGTGTAAGTAAATGTGTTCAACCATATTTTCCATCTCAGATTGTATTTTCTCCTGATAATGGTGTAACAACGCTCGCAATCGATGAAACAAATCAACGTGCTTATCAAAAAATTGCTCTAAGTTCTTGGGCAAGTGAAATATCCTATGTTATGGAACATTTTCCATATGCAACTCCCGATTCACCACAATCAAAATATTATGTTCAATTATTAGTAGATTTTCCACCCCTTAATTGTATGTACGGAACATATTGGAAATATGGTGGCAATACTTTTAATTCGTTTCCTTCACATTGGAAGAATGGAACTTCATTTGAAATAAAAAATTATATCAACTTTAATTATGAAATGATACATTCAAACGATTCTTCTCTAGATGAAGATTATTGGTATGCAAATGTAACATGTCGAACTGATAGTGGAGAAATTTATCCATGCGAAGAAATGTACTTTAAAAAAAATACGCAAATTCCAGTTCGATCAACTCGAGTAGCTCGTGGAGGATGGGATGTTAGACAATTTGCAACATATTATAAAGTTATATCAATGGGCAAACCCGACGAGAAATATTTCGATTCAATTCCCAAAAACTGGTCATTAGCGTGTCGAGATGTTATGCTTGGACTTTTATATTATCCACAAACATCGAAAATAATTTTAGATCAAAGTGTGAACATTCAAGTTTGGCTTATAACTCCACCACATCGAATTGATGGAAATGATACTGTTGAAATTCAATGGGAATCAACTGATTGCACGGGTTGTTTTACTTGGACGCCAAAACAAATTTTTTTTAACAATGAAAATTTTCAAGAACGACAAACATTAACAATAACTCGTGTCAAAGATGGACCAAAAACAAAATTTATTCCGATTTTTAATGGTGGAGGTTTTGATATGGTCACAGCTGATATTTATCCTATTTTTATTGAATAAATTTCTTGCTTTTCATATTGAATATTAATGAAATCATCGAAAACTCATGTGGGATTCTATCTGAGGTTCTAATTTGCCGTGCGCTTATGAGTAGTGGAAAACTTTTTGAAGTGTATTGTAAAATCTCTATTTGATCTTTTATGACAAAAGAAGAAAGGACCTTGTTTTGGTTCGATCAAAGAAAACTAGAACCAAGGCCACATCAGATTAGCACAGGTGAAATGAAAAAAAATATTACAATATTTCGTTTTGCCAGCTCATCATTTTAATACAATTTATTTTTTGCGTGTAAAAATGTAACACATATATTTCGAAACGATGAAAATATATTGGCATTTAATATCATTCATATTATGTTACTATTTGGAAGCATTCCAACCCTATTTTCCACCTCAAATTGTATTTTCTCTCGATACTAGTGAAACAATAATTGCAATCGATGAAATAAATCAACCGACTAATCAATCGATTTCTGTTTCTCCTTCAAATACACAAATATCATATGCCTTGAAACAGTTCCCATATGCGAATCCTGATTCTCCTCAATCAAAATATTATGTTGAATTAGTAACAGATCCTCTGATGAATACATACATGTATGTATGAAACATATTGGAAATATGGTGGAAATAATTTCAATGTATTTCCAACACATTGGTTGTTAAATGGAAGTTCATTGGAAATAAAAAAATGATCTAAATTTTACTGATAATTTGATTCAATTCCCAAATACTGGCCGAACGAGTGTCAATATTTGGATCTCGGACTTTCATATGATCCACAATCTACAAAAATAAGTTTATATCAAAGTGCAGAAATCCATATTTCGCTTTCTACTTCACCACATCGAATAGATGGGAATGACAGTGTTCGTGTTCAATGGAATGCAACTCAATGCATTGATTGTTTTACATTATCACCAAAAGAATTTAGTTTTAATATGAAGAGTTTTCAAGAAAAACAAATATTAAAAATTCCCCGTGTCAAAGATGCGCCGCAATCAACAATTATTCCGATCTTTTATGGTGGAGGTTTTGATCTTATTTCACCACAACAGTTTCCCATTTATATTCAATAAATGCATTCCTTTTCATCTGTTACCTTCAAATTTAATAAAATAATTTTGTTAACATTTGTTTTAGATGAACGATAAAATGAACACTGTTTAGAATAATATTTTCGCTAAAAAAATCATTGACTAGTATTTTTGAAGAGAATAAAAACATACATTAATGCACTTGAATGGAAAAAAGCTAAACAAATTATGATTAATATTGAACTGTTAGGAAGTAAATATTCAAAAAGCATCTATTGTTTCTTTCTGTTGAGATACTTTTTCAATAGTATCACGTTAATAGGGTGTAGGGTTCGTGGATGTATATTCATTTTTATCTATATTCACACGCACATCCCTACCCTATGTGTGACCAATTGGAATACTAACTCCCAAATCATAGATTTGGCTGTATCAATCCGAGACAGATGATGATTCTAGACCCACTTCTTTGCGATTTCCTACACTTTTTCCAAATTTACACTAATTTTGATTTTGGCTTTGTTGGGATCATAAGCAAAACGGAATTCTAGATTCTTTTTATCTCTAGCACAACTTTTTAGACTCGTCGTAGTCAGTGTTTTTAATAACAGCATGATAAACGAATGAATAGTACCGAAGAATCGGTTTCTTGTTTAAATCGATCTGCATTCATATTCACAGGCACGAATTGCTTTTAAAATATATATGACTTCCACAAATTGTCTACGTAGATTTGAAAAACAAGCGTCATTATTTGACGTCAATAGTGTAGTTTCATTCTTTTGATTGGTCTTCCCACGGCAAATAAAGACGCTTTTTTGTGAATGAATCATACTGTTTTGTTTTTTTCTTTCGTCCTTATAAAAAAGAAAATTAAGATTTACCAACATCTGTAAAAGAAAGAATTTTAATAGCATTTTATAAAATGAATTCACGTCTATATCCACAACCATCGGCGCCACCACCACCACCACCACCATCATATCAAGAAGTAACTAATAATATTAGACAGGCAGATCCTACAAGCTCATATTCAACTCAAAATGCTTCTGTTTCACAAGATAGTTACATGAATAATCTAAATAAGTTTGTTAATCGTTATGAAAGTAAGTTTTGTTTTTACCTAATACACTGTTATATCGACTGTAGAAAATCTTGTAAAATTTAGTTAGTAGAGCTTTTGCCGAACGGTTACATGTTCTACGAGGTTATGAGATTGTCTTTATTTGCGATGACTCAGGTTCGATGACCGCACCAATCGGTAAGTAGTAGCGATATGTTTTTTTTTCATTCATCTGTCCTTTAATATATTAGGTGAAGCAAACGGCCAATCTGGTAATCAAGTGACACGTTGTAAGATCATTATTTATTAGAACAAAAAAAAGATTGAATGTAAAAAAAATTGTTCTCATCTTTTTAGGGGATGAATTAAAACGAACAGTATCAATTGTTGTCGACTTAGCCAATGTTTTTGATCCTGATGGTGTTGATGTCTATTTTCTTAATCGTGAACCAATGCTTCATGTACGCGATTCTTCGGACTTAGAGAATCTATTTGTTATTGCTCCTGAAGGTAATTCAAACATCGGATATAATTTTTTTCTAATCTCGAATTCATTGTTCACTGATTTCAGGTGCAACACCAGTTGTACCCGTTCTTAGACAAGTTCTTCATGAGAAACGCAATCAAATTTATGAGCGTAAATTGCTTATTCTCATAGCTACCGATGGGATACCAACAGATGAACGCGAACGTCCAGATATTCGTACACTTGAACACGTTCTTAAGAATGAACGTAAACCTATGGATCAGATTCCAGTAACGATTATTATTTGTACAGGTAAAGTAGAAATTTAACAAGAGATAGTTTAATATGTTCATTTTCAATATTAGATGACTATCAATCTATGAATTATTTACATGATTGGGATAAGACAATACCTAATCTTGATGTTGTTCATGACTATCGAAGTGAAAAGAAGCAAATTCAAATGTGTCGTGGCAAAGATTTTCCATTTAATTATGGTGATGTAAGTCATTGTGATCCTTTATTAGCATCTTTTTTTTTTAATCTATCTTTATTTTTAGTATATTGTAAAAATTTTATTGGGCGGTGTCGATAGTTGGTTTGACGATTTGAATGAAATGAAAAAAAACTAAATATACATCAAAATCGATGACTCTAATACTTTGTTTTTGCTTTGTACCAACGTTTTTTGTATTATTTTATATCTACTCTATTGTTCATGAATCAAATATATTTCTATAACTCAAGTTGGCTGATATTCAACATTTCCATTAATTGAATTCTAGTGGAACTTACCGACGTAGATGTTAAGATGAGGTTCTCTTCGTTACATAGCCACATTAACATAGTGATTGATATCGTCGACATCTTTTGGTTGAGAAATTTTATGCTTTCGTCTATTTTAATATCGATTGGTTAACGAAACCCTTGTGTTCATTGTGGCTGTGGTCACGCATCACTGATGATCGTTTGAATAACGAAACAAAAAGAAACTACTTTCATATGGCTTCATCAACGATCGTAAATTCATGGACAGAATGGGGCTCATTGGAGCTTATTTGTGTAGGCACTGCTCATGGTATGTGCTATCCAGATGAGACTCCAGCATTTCCGAGCGTTGCAGGACCTCCTAATCTAAGTCCATATCTTCAATCGGTAGTAGGCCCACGACCCCGTCGTCGGATTCAAGAAGCTCAAGCTCAATTGGATCATTTGGTTGATCTATTACGAGCTGAATCAATTACAGTTGCATGTTCAATCGACGATATACGAAATGAAGATATTGGAGAAGTTCTCACTCGAAAGCAAACATCAATTACTGGCAGTTCTTATACAACCGACGGTAGAATTCTTCAGAAGAATAAGATTGATGTGTGTCGACCAACAACATTGTCAAATGAACAATTAAGATTTGATCAGCAGCTAACTACACCTAATTTTATATCTAAATATCAATTAGGTTTGACCTGTCCACGTGACGTACTAATCACACTAGGTGACACCATAGTAGAAGCACCTACTGCTATTCACTATCGCTATTTTGAAACTGAATATTACAAGACTCTACTTTATTCATTGTGGTCACGAGATTCGAATATGAAATGGTTACAGCCTCCAAAACCTACATGTTCACCAACGCGTATGTTTAATGATGTTGACTATTGGCAAAAGAAAAGTCACTCTAATAGTTCTTACAAAACAAATTTGAATGAAACAGAAATTGCTTTCGATGCAGCCGATATAATTCGTATGGGTAAAGATATCTTCTACAAAAAATCAGCAACGGCCAATAATCAAGGTCTATCGTGGCTTCGTCGTACATTTCCTCATCTTCGCTTTCACATGATGCATTTTCCAACGAGTCTCGATTGTCATCTGGATACTTCACTCGTACCACTTCGACCGCCAACATCAGGTTCTCCTGGTATTGTTCTCATCAATCAAAACCGTCCTCCACTGGTCAATGAAATCAAACTATTCACTGACAACGACTGGCGTCCAGTATGGGGACCTTTGCCTGCTACCAATAGTTTACCGCCGTTTGCAATGTGTTCAAGCAATATCAATTTAAATTTACTCTCCCTCAATGACCATTGCGTTATCATTGAAGAATGTGAAGTACCCCTATATCGATTATTGCATGATGAACTTGGTTTCGATGTCATCACATGCCCTTTTCGTGTACTTAACGAATTTGGTGGTAGCATCCATTGTGGTAAGAAGAATTATCTTCTTGATCCTATCTGTAATAAACCGCCATGCATGCTATTTTATTTTATTTTATTTAGTAACGTGGGATATTCGTCGTCAAGGCTCGTGTATTGATTATTTTCCTAATCAGAACTATGAAGCTGAATGTCAACTAGATCTGGAAAGTTATTCTGATCAAGTTGTATTAGTCCAAGACACTGAAAAGAAATTTTGAAACGAATTGAGAGTGTGGATGGCAGGAGTTAGCTACGTGAGTATAAAGGGATCTATGTTTTTTTTCCAAAATAAAAACAAACAAACATATGCATACACATATATTACATGTCTATCAATTTATTTTTATTTTGAACCTAAATTTTTACTGCAATTATGTTAGGTTTCACTCTTCATGACTTCGATGCATTAAAAAGCGAGAAAAGAATTTAATAAAAACAAAATTTCATTTTATTTATAATTTTAATGAAGCACCCAGAAAAAAGAAAAACAAACAGCTAACAATATCATGATATAATACATAATATATGTACGGAATGTAAAACAAAAGAGAGAGAGAGAGAGAGAGAAAAAATACAATGGTGTGTATGACTAGTGTAAAACTTCATTCTTTTAAATAGTCAATGAAAATTTTCAGCACTGGTCAGTCGACCACTAAATTTCGACGAATACTGTTGTTTGAATGAAGAATTATTTTGTTGTTCCACGGAATTTGTTGCTCCTAACGGTCTGTTCATTGGTTGCTGTTGTAATGGAACATTATTTAGAACAGACATCGAAGATGCACGCTTCATTGGACCATAATTAGCATCTTCTTGCTGTCGCTGTTGTTGATGATATTGTTGTTGTGGTTGTGGTTGCGGTTCGTATTGTGAAGAATTTATTGATTGGTTATTCCAACCAGTAGATGATGTTCCACGAAGTTTCTGTACAAGTTTTTCTGAACCACGCCGAATACTTTGCCGTAATTTTTGAAATGAACCACTACGACGTAATTGCCCATATTCTTGTGGAGGTGGTTGTTGTTGAGCGCGTCGTATTGTTCCTTGATTGTTATCATCATAGATTCGAAGTTGTCGTAAAAGATATAAAGCGCGATCAATAGCTCCTGGATCTTCTATTGCTTTAGTTGCACATGATTCAATATAATCTGCTTGTTCGTAGAAACCTTGTCGACGACAAAGTGCTCCTAGAAAAATAAAATTTGTTTATTTTCTTCTGAAATCAAAAAACAAAATTCATACCAAGATTTTTTAATGTGGTCATTACTGTTGAACCATCTCGTATTGAAATCGGTGTTGTGCTTACATTATTCGCTGAATTTTGACATTGCTCATTCGATAGAACTTCTTGATACAATTGAGCTGCTAGCTTATATTTGCCTTCACGTAAATAGGCTGATGCAAGGTTATTTTTTGTTTTGGCAACATTTGGATCATTGCTCCCATAATGTTTTATGTATATATCAATAGCACGTTTATAATATTCTTCAACTTTGTCATATTTGCCTTGATTGAGACATAATAATGCTAAATTATTTAATTGTTTACCGACATCAGGATGATCAACACCGAAACATTTTTCTCGAATTTCTAATGCTCGTTTACATAATGGCTCTATGAAAATAAAACGAAAGGCTTTAATGACAAAACTAAACTCTTAATTTCAAATACCTGCTTCTTTATATCGATTCTTTTTCCCATAGAGTACAGCTAAATTATTTAAAGTTGCTGCTACTGCAGGATGTTCAAAACCCAGCGTTTTTTCTCGTATAGTTAAAGCTTCAGTTAATAGTTGTAATGCTTCTTTAAATTTATTCTGATCTCGATAAACTAATGCAAGTATATTAAGCATCGTTGCTACATCGGGATGTGTGTGACCATGACTTTTTTCAAGATCTTCAAGTGCTTGTCGACATAATGGTACAGCTACTTCATACCGACCAGCTTGCGCATACTGTATCACAAGATTATGAAGTGTACGAAAACGTGCTGGCACTTCCGAATAATTTTTTACATCGGTATTAAGATTAGGTACTACTGGAGTTTGTTCTTTGATTTCAGGTGGTACATCTTTATCAATATCTATTGAACTAGTTAAATGTAAATCTTCATTGTCAACAATAGATGCTAATGATTCGTTTAATACAAGAATATCTTTTTCATACTCTTGTTTTATTTGTGTACTTGTTTGTAGATTTTTTTCTGTCGCAGATAATTCATCTCGCAACCAACTATTTTCTTCTGTTAATCGTCGTACTTGTAACATTAATTTATATGTTTCACTATCAAGATCATCTAAATGATGTTCAAGTTGTAACATGACCACTGCTTCGCCCATACCCAAATCAATAGATTCGAGAGATTGTTTAATACTGGCACGTTTATCTTCATCGTTCGAAGTTGAAAGTAATAAATTATGTTCTTGTTTTAATGTTTCAAGACTGGATATAACCGAACGGCTTGTATGAGTTAAATCATGCGTCAAAAGACTTGCAGTCATCTAAAATAAATTTCACAGAAAACTAAAATATAATCAAGGTCGAACTACTCGTACGCCGATTAATTGAAAGTATAATCAAGTGAACATGTGACACGTAATGGTATACTATGTTTCTTTACCTATAAGAAACGTGAAGAAGAAGGAAGAGAAAAAAAATCATGAATAACTCTATATTGCAAATGAAACATTACGTGTTCTTTTCTGTTAGTTTCCTTTTCTCTCCTACAATTTTTTTTAGCATAATTATATATGAAAAATAGTTTGAGAAACTAGCCAACGTGATTATACAATATTCAACAATGTAAAATAAATTTCATCTTACGTTATCACTATTGACTGTTCAAATGCAGAGAAAAAAGAAATAGTAGGTTAAATCATTTGACTGTCTCGCTGCCAATAGGCATATGCATATTGAGTATTTTTTTTCTTTTCGCTCTACTACCATCACCTCTAATAATGATCGAATGCGTACGTGTCAGCTGTTACAGAGAAGACGCAAACGCTTAATCTCAAATCAATAGAAACAAGAAGAAAAAAGGAATAAGAAAAAGAAAAAGAAAAAGAAAATGAAAAAGAAAAAGAAAAAAGAAGAAAATGAATGGTAAGAACACCATCTTAGAGTTTTATACGTGTTATGTGTTTTTTTCTTGTGTTGCTTGTTTTATGTATCTTAGCAGTTCATTCTAAAATCATTTAGTGACGCAGATAAGTAGTGTGCACAATCTCTCGGTGGTAGTAAGAAGAAAAATCTAAAAAGATGGTTTGGCAACGTATTGCACGAGAATGAAAGAAAACATGCAGAGAAAATTATGCGTATTTTTCTCGCATTCTATTAAATTTTAAATTTACCTCGACCCTGTTCAAACATTAGCACGAAGTCATCAAGCCACACACTCAGCATTGAAAAAACCTAAAGCACTATGTTGTCATTTTAAATTACCTCAAGTTTCTAAAAACGAACTGATTTATTAATTTTTTCTATTTTTAGGTACAAGGCGTTTTTTTTTAATGAGCCGTATTGCATTTATAGTATCACTGACATATCCATCGATGGTTCATCTTGTTAGAATACAAACTTGAACCGACCCTATTTGCTAAACAAACATACTGAAGCATATATGAGGAATAATATCAATGAAAACATTGTTCGATATTCGTATGAGTTCATGTTTTGATTGAAAGATTGATCAAATATAAGAAAATGAAATGAACAAGTAAAAAAAAAGGAACAGCGATACAATGAACTTCGTTGGAGCTTTTTCTTTCATTGGCTTGTCCGTATAGGGTGTTCAAGTGAATATTTCATGATTGGTAACATGATCTGAAAAAATGAAACCGAAAAAGCAAACCACTGTGTGAAAGATCTACGTTATGGGGAGAGGGATATTTCATTTGACTGAGTAAATAAACTGAGTTTTACTAAAAGTTTAAACATTTTTATATTTCATGATGCAAACCAAACAAGACTTACGTGTGCAACATAGGCTTCACTTATTTATACCTACTTTATGTGCAAAAAAAACGCAAAAATATTCATAATAAGTTCTGAGAATATCTAAAAATAGTTCAATTCCTTCCGTTATTTCTTTACTGGATTTCCTTTCTAGATACGTTATAGGTATAAGCTAATATGCTATCGTTTTTTAGAAGAAATAAATCAATTTTCAAAACGGAATATTCTTCCTTTATGATCTATCGTTAGACAAAAATCTCATAAAAATAAAAGTTTTATGTGTGAAGCTTTTTGTTTTGAAAAAAAACTTATTGCTGCTGTCATCTGCTGAATGCAGGTGCTTTCAAATCATTATTAATCAGGTATAAATAACAATTTGATTATAGTCGTCTGACTTTTATATATTGATCATTGATCAAGTTCAATGAATCATGTGCGAGATAAGACTGAGAATCATTTTTCAGGTGTCAAGGCCAATGATACTGTTATTTCAAGGAAGCATAAAGAAATTTCCGGGATATCAAATAAAGAATTTTTCTACTAGCAAATTTATTTAATTGAAAAATCAAATTTTTCCAATGATCAACTTAATTTGACAGAGTCAACTCTAAATTAATCAATTAATCAATCAATCGTATTAATATTTTCAATTATGCATAACGAAGAAATACGATATCTGTCATATGAATATGAATGTTATTATATTTGGTAGGTAACACAATGTCAAGGATAATACATTATTCTATTCATAAATCGACACTAATTAGTCGTTCATGTTATGTTTCATTTTTAAACAAAGCCAATTGCATATCGTGTTCATAGCTGAATATCAATACTAAATATATATGTATATGTTGTGTAACTTAAATTTCTATTTCATTGGAGTCTATTGAAAAATCACACATGAATTGTATCATTCAAGCAAACTTTCAAAACATTTCGTTGGTTGTATTAAAATCAGATCGAACAATGCTCACGGACGTATTGATGGCGAATATAAAATTTGCTCATGTGTGAATAATTAGAACAATTCAATTGAGTCTTTGAATGAAATAGAAATAATTTCGCGACACCTTCGTTTTTCTTTCTTTCGCTTTGCAAGTTTCTTTCTCATTCGGGGGCTATGAATGGAAAACAACTAATAATCGATCAATCATGCCATTATATTCATGCTGAATTGCGTATACAACAAAAAAACCGAGAGAGACAGAGAAAGATGATAGAAAGACTCAGGCCAACTAAAAAAAAATGATTTTATTAACGACGAGGCGTATTGATACAACAATGAAGACAAAAGCATTGTTTCTTATATTCTCATTTATTATGCATGCATTTCTTTTTTTGCGGAGGTTCCCCGGCTAGTATCTGTGCGGTTTACTGAACTCCTTTATCAATTCATAATTTATTTCTCTCTATCCTAATTTTTTCTTTGCGCCTTTCGTTCTCTTTTGTTCAGTTGTATATAAACGTGGGCATCTTAGAGAAATTGTCAGTTGTAATTCGGCTACTCTTGTATCCAATTCTACTTTTTTTTTTTTTGAAAGATCAAGTACTCTATCAAACAATTACTAGTGAGTAAGAGTTTCTTGTATTCTGCATAGCAAAAAAAACGAATTCGAAAAACATAATATACTTAATTAATATTCACTCTGACATGAAAATTATAGGCATAATCATGTATAAACGGTATGCACATTTAGTTTCAAGTAGATTTGAAGTGAGAGAAGGAATGATGTTGGTAGCAACATTCGAAGTTGATTTGTTGTATTTCATTAAGAAAATTCATATAGAGATGTTTCTAGAGAATAGAAGATGAGTTACATGCAAAAAAAACAATTAAATCCAAGCACAAATGTCATCAACTAGTTGTTCTTTTTCTTAATATTCCCGATAAGAAAATTGAAATCTTCATTAATTAGAATTCCATTCTTTTTGTAACTAAAGAATTTTTTATTACACTAGAGAATTTCATGAAGTAATATTGTTCGTAATCAAGTTAAATAAATTACAACTCTGATTTATTAGTCATTGTCACCAATGCCAGATTGAATAATTAGTTTTTCGTTTCTATGGAAGATTCCTATTGAAAGTTTTTCAGCATGTAAACAATCGATAATTCATATATGATTAGTTGTTTTCTAAAATGATTTAGATCATTTTCCAAAATATGACTCGCATTCATTTATCGTCCTTAGTAATTTTTATGACTATTTTATTTGTTGCCAATGCCCAATGGTTTATTATAAAAAAAGGTTATCCATCAAGTTCAATGAATTATCCAAATCCTGGTAAAAGAAGCGTAGCCAATGAAAAATTAAAATTATTAAATATTGATTGTTCTGTCCCATATTCATATCGCAGTTCGCATGAAGAAAAAACTGCCTGGATATTATCATGTAATTATGAAAAATCTCCATTAACAATAATCAAAGATTCATCATCATCATCATCATCATCTAGTTCCGATAGTATTGAAGATGAATTATATTCGGTACGCCGGCTTATTGCTCAAGATCGAAGGACTGTACGTTCTAGTCCACCTTACTTTCATGAGCATCCTGATTTGTTCAATAGATGACGATTTCCCGAGCGCTTACGTCAACATGAAAACAAATAATTGACAGACGTGAGAATTTCTGATGATATATTATCAGTTTTTATTCGCCTCTATATATATGCATTTTGTTCTCTAAAGCAATGAGCAAAGAATAAACCGATTCCAATAAATATTCAATATTTTCTCTGTTTTTTTTGTTGATGTTTTTATAAAATAAACATGTAATTTATTTCTTTTTTTTATGGTATGAATGAACATGAAAAAAAAAATGAACTGTTCATTTATCATCAGACCACATACGGGCAGAATTTTCGTGTGAAGCATACGGATGATCGCTCATCAGAAAAGCGTCGCGTTTACCCCAACCTACAATAGATCGATTTAAAGAAGAAATAAACAGAACATACGTTGAACTTACCAACGCCTTTTCGTTTAACTAAGGGTAACATGAAATCATCCTCTTGATAATCATGAGTCGGATAATTCCAAGAAAACTTTTTCACTTCGGCTGGACGTGCATCAACAGTAATTCGACTGGTAAAGTATTGATAGATGATTAAAGTAATGATGAAGAAGAAGAGCTTCATGTTGAACCGATTATGGGTTAACCAATTGATGAAATGAAAATGGGAAATGAATTGACGAGAGAATTAAATTGAAAGAAAAAGAAGAAGCAGAAGCAGAAGAAAAAAAAGAAATAGCAAATCACGGTGATTATGCCGTACAAATCGGTGATTTTAAATACTCAGTTGACTGCAATCAACGAGAGAGAAAAATGAGAAAAAGACAGAGAGAGACAGAGAAGAAGATAATCAAATACACTTCATATTTATATTGCCTGTATTACTCATATATATATATATATATACATATATATTTTGTATTCTATTGGGAAGTTTTAATATTATACAGGATATTGCACATTAGTACACAGATTAAGAGGAACGTGAAAGGTGAATCAATAAAAGTCAATGGATTTTTTTATGTGATATCTATTTATGCATAACTTGTTCTCAGTAATTTATCACTTATTCATTATTCAATAGCTATGAGTAAAAATAATTCCGACCAACAGTCGGAGGTGTTACTACTCCCCGTCGCTTTCTGTCGCTCTTTTTTTCACGACTAATTGCACAAACATTGAAAAATTTATGAATAAATATCAATCGATTGTAAACTTCATAGTTATAGCTTGTTTTTTTTTCTGATTGAATCCATTGATAATTTCCAGTAGATTGGCATTGCGTGACAAGAACAAGTAATGAAATGTTGTTTTGTTTTAATTACACCCAAAACAGTCGAATAGAAAATCTTTCTTTTTTTTCAATGGATTGAAAAGAAAATTGGATTCAGAAATGTTATCGACGTCAAATTATATTCTATAAATTGCATTTGAAAGAAGCAGGACAATAGTACTGTAAATTAAATGATAAATGTTATGGTGTCAACTAAGATTAAAGACAAAAAGTTTCGGTTCTCCCAAATCTTTAGATAGTAGTAAAATCAATATTTTTGTTTCAAGGCTTATTCAAATCTGTAGGCAATCAATTTTGCTTGAATGTTAATCATTAATGAAGTTTTATGTGGTCGAGCCTCCGCTAAATTTTTCAAAAAAAAATAAACATTCTAAAGGATCAAAATTCCGAATAAAGAAAATGATTAGTACATTGAAATTCTATGGTTTCATACAATATATGTAAAACTTTGTTAGTCTAATGTAATATTGAAACTGAGACAAATATCGTCTTTTTCTATAGTTTAAATCAAATCATTATCTTTCTGTAAGTACGACGAGCTCTCATTAATGCGATACGAAGTAGAAGCATTTATGTAGTTCGTCGCAAGTTTCCTTTTTTACTTGACCATACGCATCGTTTTCGTCGTTTTGTGACTCAATGATCTCGAGAACCGAAAATGATTAAGAAAATCTCGTTTAAACGCATGTTAGCAGTATCAAGATCGAACTGCTTACACCTGTTTTAGAATCCTCAATCTGACGTTCCATTCACTCACAGATGTGGTTCCAAAGCGACGAAAATAAAAGAAATTTAAGAATCGATAATTAAAATGCCGTCATCAACATATGTTAGCCACGATAGCCTATTCATTTACAGCTGATCCAAGATAATGAATCATAGAGATAATTTATTGTTCAATCAAAATCGATCCTTAAGAATGTATCACTAAGTAAGAATAGAGTTTTAGTCAGTGATGAATTTCATCATGTCGACATAGAAAGTATTCAAAATTTCTCTGAATTGAAGATTTTTCGTGAAGATCCGTATTCTTACGTCGCATCGCATTTCGTATACGAGTGCGACTCGGGTGCCATCTGGTTTTCATTCTTTTGTTTGAACAAAAATAATGGAAACCATTGTCAGATCAGTTATTTGAGCAAGTACTAATAATATTCAAAGTCGATATAACCTAAATGATCAAATGCTATCACCAACAACGTATCATTGAAAAACTAGCATTTTTTGATTAATAGATTATTGCTAGCTGCTGTAAATCTAAGAACAGACATAATTTTACCACAATATATTTTTTTATTTTCGTCCATGTTCAAATGATTGTCGATAGTCACCGTTAATCAGCTAGAATCGAAATTTCATGTCCAGTTTATTTTGGTATTCAGAATCTTTTTCTTTACTGAACGTTAATTCATTGAGGATAAATCTTTTATGCGAACGAAAGTTGTTTTTTTGTACAAAATGCGACACTAGAAGATGCCAGCATATGTTATTGAAGTTATTTTCTCTGATTCACGCTTACCTAGATTTCGTTTTTGGAAATATTTAAGAGAGTACCAAAAATATTGTCTACATTAGATGTCATAGACTTGTTACGGTCATCCACAAATTGTCTTGATGAGAAATTTTACGACACTTTAGCAATCTATTAATAAAAGCAATTTTCGAAGGAGATATATTGTCATTTCGCTGCATTCAGCAATTTCGGGTAAATTTTTCTCATCCAGATTCATAATCAATGTATTCGCTTTTTTCAACGAAAAAAAACAACAAATCATTTGCATATGATAGTTCATGGTCGTCGTGTGCATTTTTACTTATTTTCTACATATTGAATGAGAGTTCTTCTCTCAAAATGAGAATTTTTATGGAAAAATGAAATAAAATGCATACACTTCAGATTAGACACTTCACATGGGGATGTAGCTCATATGGTAGAGCGCTCGCTTAGCATGCGAGAGGTATTGGGATCGATGCCCAACTTCTCCACTCTATTTTTTTTTCTTTTCTAATAAATACAAATATAACCAAAATAACATCGGTAAATACTTACGTCAGTCTAACTTGTCTATGATTTGCAGCCATAGACTGCAACTTGACAAATGAATTTTTCTTATGATGGTCACAAAATTGGCTCAAAAATTTCTAGCAAAATGCTACATCTCGGTTGCAATAAACTAACGACTGGAGTGGATGAAACTAAAATTTCTTACCATTCTTTCAATCAGTTGAACAAACCACAGTACAATAATTCACTATATGGTCCTGTCTGTCTTACAATCAATCAATTATGTAATACTATTAAAACCATTCTAATATCCACTAATGCATTTGATATCAACAATTCATCGTTATATTCTCGAAAAAAGTGTAAACTATTCTATCACCTTTCAAATATATTCGGTTATAACATGAATCATAACTGATATAATATTTACAACGATTTCTTCTTGTGATTACAGTTAATTAAGGGAAGTTTTGATATTTTTCTAAAATTGTAAAACCTAGACAAATAAAATGAAACTAATCATATAAAATCTATGTCAAATAGACTAGAGATTATTTTAACAAAACACGAATAAATAAGCATAAGATTTCAAAATCTGTGAATATATCGATTCATTTTATTGCTGATAAAATCATAAAACATTCTATTGAATGTTTGATATTACAAAGTCAATTTCAACAAGTATGTATCTTGTATTAGTACCAATTAGTTATCGAGACAAAAAAAAGTATTGTTTTATTCGCAATTCGAATATCAAATTATTGTATAGACAAAAAATATGACGAATACATATGCATGTCAGCGAGGAACGATTTAGTATGATTATTGCACTGCTATTTTTTTTTGTTTTGGCATTTGAATAGTCGAAGAATAACAAAACCAATCAAAGATAAGTATAGTGACACGTGGTTGTATATCTTACTAAATGAATAAATAGGACACAATTGCGAAGCTGAGAATTGTCGCAGATACAATAAGTAGAAATATTCATAACTGTGACTGCACGTCGTATAGAAACAAAGGCAGTAGAACCATTTTTCTGTGAAGGAATTCCAGAATATTCCGCGTTTGTTTTAAATTGTACTTCGTTTGTGCTACATTAAGTATAGACTATCATCGTATTCGTCAATAGATTAAAGTGTTGTGAGATTAAGTTGCTGTTCAAACAATAGATGTATACGTTATTACTCACCGTGAAAATTTGCCACTTTTACTACTTCAAAAAAAATTCAACCCTATGTATCAGATTTCAATGATATTGACCATTCGTTTTGGTACCTATACTTCTTGCTTTCAGCTCACAAAATTTTGTATGCAAGGTCCACATAGAAACAATAGTACGCTTCGGGAAAAAAAGATTTGTATGGCATGATGAAAGAAGAAAAAGTATGCTTAAGATCACAATCTAGTCAGCGTATAATCTGTGTACTGTGGCAAGTTTAATTCAGTAGCGTATTCAAGCGAGAACTACAGAAAACTAAACTTCTCACTTTTCCCCAAAACTGAGCTCGCTCATCTGAAATTTCTTTGAGTATCTTTGGAAATCTGCATAACACCACTTCCTCTCATGGCTGACAATAAAGAGAGAGTTTTATATTCTATTTATAAAATAGGTAATAATAAAAAAGCATGCTAAGATTCTGAAACGGGTCCACTTAAAGCAAATATAGAATACAAGAGCTACGTATGAAATTAACTGTCACACAATGTTACACTAGTTATTTTTTTGTCTTCCAACATAAGCATAACTTCATTATTCATTCAAGAGAAAATAATACTTCTTCAACATTGTTTTTGACTTTTTGAATTATAATATATAACTGAATATTAATGAAAACATTTTATTTTTCTTCTATTTAATAATCATGTGTTTGCCAATAAATGATTCTATGTAATAAACTCTTCTACTTAGTTTTCAGTAAAATTTTCTAAACAGGATTGAAGGCTATTAAGCTTCGTATCAACCGTCATTAAGCGACAAATGCAAGCAGAAAAGCATCCATGTCGATGGACATGCTACCGATACATGCGTCAACACAATGACAGTGTCCGTACGTGTAGTGACACATGATAACACATTGAAGTTTCTGTACGGAATGTGTCGACACATGTGCCGACAGCGTGTCCTATCGACATGCACGACAAAAGCAAGCAGAAAAGCGACAGAGGGCGCTCTCTTTACATTTCATCCAGCATGTCATGATATGTTTGTTTTCATTTGTTTATTAGATTTTGTTTCTTGTCATAAATTCACTCATGACGCGAAACTCTAATAGATTTCCAATCTTAAAACTACTCTACTATTCTTTCTCTACTAAAATATTTCTGATTTTCATTGATTTAGAAAATTTTCTGTTCTCCAATAAAAACTAAAGAAAACCGAGAGAAGAAAGCTTTTCTTTTAATATAAGAATTTTCTTTTATTAACTTAACTTTTTTTCTATCATCAACACCTTGAGTTTTGAAATAACGATAAAGAATTAAACAAATGTTCCTTTGTTGAGAAAAGCACATTCAAGATATTTGTGGTAATAATGAAATAAATTATTCTTCTGTTTAGATAAAATTATTTAAAAAAAATTGAACTATGACCGATCAACTAACATAAGTGAGTAGTGTCATACGAGTACTTTTTTTTTTGATACAATTCAAAAGAGGAATATTTCAACGATGTGAAATTAAAGGCAGTCTGATAAAAAAAAATGAACCATAGGATTCTTTGGATAGTAGATTGACATGAAACTAAAATAAAATCTTTGCTTTATGTAGTCTATTAATGCATCATCCAGATCCTGAACAGTTACGAGTAAGTCGTAAAATTCTTCTTTTTTCTTTATACCAACGAAATATTTGTTTGTTTTATTAAAAGATTTTTAATGGACATTACGACGACGATGTTCTTTTATTCAATAATAGAGTACCCACGCTAACAACGTTATCCAGTGCATCGAATTATGCAACGAAACTACTTGAGAAGTTCTCTTTAATGCGTGATAAACCCGATTTATGTGATTTTCGTATTGATATCAATGATAAACACTTCTATTGCCATAAATTTTTATTAATAGCGACATCAGATTATTTTAAAGCAATGTTTAATGGTTTGTAATTTATTTTCATATCAATAATGGTTTGAGTAAAAAGAAAAACATTGATTTATGCGAAATCAAATCTTCCTTAATAGTATACAAAAAACAGAGAATAAATGTTTCTTTTCATCATAAAATGTTAACATTCGAAAATTTAAGAAGGAGAAAAATCTGATTGAATTTTAAACCCGAAACCGAAATATTTGACAAAGCAGTTTTATTCTCATAGAATAATTCTCGAAGTGACTGTCAATTATAATTAGCTTTATTCTAGGCCATATGAGTGAAAGTCAATCCGATCATGTCGAACTAAAAGGTTTCGAACGTTCATCCAGTGGTGTTGAATCTATGATAAATTTTTGTTATTCTGGCTCCCTATTCATAACATTTGATAACATTGATGAATTATTGCATGCTGCAACACATCTACAAATACACGATGCCATTGACTTATGTTCACAATTCCTTATTGAATCATGTTCAATTAATAATTGTATTGATATATATAAAATATCGGATTTATATTCACTTAATAATGTTTTAAGTATTATAAAAAGTTTCATATCAAAATATTTTGTTTTACTTATGTTTCATTCACGCCATCAATTTGAACAATTAACATACGAACAAATCTATAATGAATTATCTCGTGATACATTAGAAATGTATCAATTCAATGAATATGACTTATTTACAATGACATGTATATGGATTAAAGTAAATCAACAAGAAAGAGAAAAATATGCAACAGATTTATTTAAACTTATTCGTTTTATGCTAATGACACCCGAACAACTATGTGATCATGTTCGTAGTAATGAACTTATTAAAAGTAATGAACAATCTAGAATATTAGTACAAGATGCTCTATGTTATTATGCATTACCAAATAGACAACCGCTTATCAACGATGTACAATCTCGAATAAGAAATGACTCAATACTTGTTGCTGTTGGAGAAATTGAATTGTTTTCATTGAATACTGTATCTGAAAGATGGGAAACATTGTGTCAAGCTCCATTAGAAGAAAATTATCCGGTAGGATTAGTTTTCTGTTCTTTCTTAAGCTTGCAATCATAAGGAGTGTCCTTTATGCTTGTCAAGTGTTCGTTTTGTCTTATACAACGAACAGATTTTCATGTTTGGTTGATCTAACCTTGTTATCAAGGTTAATTTTCTCGTTATTTGTATAACTTGTGCACACTCTAAAACAAGCATGCGAGAATTAGAATAAAAATGTTATTAAAAATAATCTTCAAGGAATTAATTTAATCCACTTGTGTATGTTGGAAGTGTTCCAGACAAATTTGCTTTATTAAATCAAATTACTAATCTACATGTTTTTTTTGGATGCAAAATAAAAAAAGCTTCATGTTTGAGTATATACGTATTTATCTACGTTTATCATTATAGTTCATTTAAAAAACGAGAGCAAAAAGGAATGAAAGTTATTTATCATATTGAGCTTAATTTTTTCTTTGTATAAATTATTATCTACGTTTCAACCCTCGCAATATTGAAATCATTTTGACATGTGACTTTAAGATTTACTTATATTTAGTAAATCCCTACACAGAATAGAAGTTCACCCCCCCTGGATTAGATTCATTTGTTGAACATCAAGGTTTACTTCATGAAAAATGAAAGGATGAACATTTCTCTATCAAATAACGTAAAAAACTGGCATCAGGGCATGCTTGGTTACAAAATAATAGCTTACGGAACAGAGACACCGCCCATGGGCTTCTATTCTGCAGGGGGGTTTATAAGGAAATAGAGAATGTCAGAGACTAGAACATAATAATATTTCTATTATGCTTAGTCGGTTCTTTTTTTTTGACATCATCAACTTGATTAAATTTATCTAACAAAAGGAATCCTTCGCCATGCAACTTCATATTATATTCATCATCAAGTGTAAGTGAAACTATTGAATTTCACTGATAGCATGCTCTCAAAAATCCTTAGGAATGAATATTTTTAGATCTCTCTCTATAATGCCTACAATATCCTCCTTGACACCATAGGCGTTCGAACAGCAGGTATACAGTCAGATGATTATTTCTCGTTAGTAATAAACTTTTACTACATCATTAACCTTAGCAGTATTATATAATACTGACATATCACTTATGACGAGATAATGCTTAGATTTGTATTGACTTAGTTACATGAGCATTTAAATTCTTCATACTCGCAATTGTATTCAAGTAAAATTGTTTTACAAATCAAACGATATTATTCTAATATTTGTAATAGAAATGATTGAAATTATTTTTTTTTTAATTAGTATCCATTTAGTGCAATAACTGTAAATAATTATTTATATGTACTTGGTACACGTCGCTCATCATCTGAAGAATATAAATCATGTTATCGTTTCTCTGCACGTACCTGTGAATGGATTAAATTGCAAAATCTTTTACATGATCGATCACGATTTGCTGCTGCACATGTGAACTCATTTATTTATATGTAGGTCGAGACTCATTTATATTAGATGTTTTTCAAGAAAAAATGAATGATCTTTGATTTTTTTATCTAGTATGGGTGGTTTTGAAGGATTCAAACGAACAACACGTGTTTATGTAAATACAATTGAACGATATTCAATAGAAAATGATCAATGGGAATCATTTTCTGCCGATGGCCCACAACTTTCATCTCTAGCAGCATGTGCATGTGGAGATTCGATTTTTCTTGGCGGTGGAAAAAATGGCCAATGGTATATATAGATTATTGTCCAGGTTTTTCTTGTTAAAATTCATGGCTATGAGTTAATCCGATAGATGACTTTTGTTTATGAACCGTATGAAGATAGAAATCCTAATTTCCTTTGCACAGGTGAGAGAAACTGTATAGTCGAATTGAAATTTCGACTCTTAATTAAGTCTCATGATTACTATACGGGTTCTTGGACATGATTTTCTGTAATTCTCCGTATTTGAATTCAATTGTTGCCGATTACATTACTCTAAAAAGATTTAAAACTTTTGTCTAGGTCCAAAATAGCTGATTTTTATTGTTTTTCAATTGAAAAACGTCAACTAGAAAAACGTGCATCAATGCTCAACGCTCGTACAACGCATGCATTTCATATATTTGATGAGAAAATTCTCGGTAATTAAATTTTGATCCAAGTATTTTCAATTGATTAATAATTTTTATTGTAGCTATTGGCGGTTTTGATGATGATGGAAACGGTATGTTATCTATTGAAAGTTATGATACTCATTGTGATCAATGGACTATATTGACATCAATTCCGGGTGCTGTGTCAAAAACATGGCCACAATCGCTTGGTACAGTTGGTAGACGTATTTATATATCGGTATTTCACACATCGAATTCATTTATTGTGATGCAAGAAGGTTATTTTTTTGATTTGGATACTCAACGATGGATAAAAGCCCCTGTTGTGCACGAACGTGCACGATACTGTCCAACAGTTCAACTTCGTTTTCCGAAACATTTTCTTAAGTCAATACAAACAGCAACAACAAATAATCCAGCATCTTTGCCGACCTCTTCTAATCTTGTGCTTATCAATACTTGATAGTTTTGATTTTTTTCCTTTCTCTTTTTGACTAAAGTTTTAATTGTAATAATAAAGATGTTCATTTTCTTTTTAGATAAATTTATTTTGTTATTTTATTATATAGAATATTTTGTCTTTTAATTTCCGTCCTTAAATTTTTTTTATTTCGTTTCAATCAAATGGATTTTATCAAGATAATGTAAGATGATTTAAAACAAACATATGAGTGTGAATAATAATCGAATCTATTTAGATAATGGAGAATCAAACATTATCTCCGTCATCGTGTTTTCTTTTTGAAAATACAGATGAATCAATTTATCCGAGTGATTTGGTTTTAAATATTATGGAAGATTCATCATCATCATCATCATCTTCATTGACGAATACAAATGGAAGTTTATCTCCGTCATCACCACTTGATATGTCAAAAAATCCAATGTCATGCGCGTGTTGTATGTTCTATTGTAAACCAAATTCACATCCGTTCCAAGAACGTTGCATTCCACTTAATGAACAAGTTAAAATTGGACGCGCTGTCGCACGACTTAAACCTCTTCCGACTAATGCAATTTTTGATTGTAAAGTTCTTTCACGTCAACATGCAAAAATTTGGTATGAAAATGGAAAAGTATGTTAAAGTAAAAATTATTATGTACGAACTACTTCCTCATTGTATTTCCGAAAGATCAACTAAGAGGATGGTAAAAAAAGGTGTGCCGAGATGAATAGTACAGAGCAATCTGCCTGGTGTTGTCTCAAATTTTAATTTCGTTGGGATTCTTCAAAAAAAAGTTTTCCAAAACAGTGATCCAATCTTAGCACTACTCTGATTGAGAAAGATTCAAATTTTGATGTGATTCGGTGTCACATGGGATATGATTCTTTTGTTTTTCTTCTTTTAAATATCTACATCTTACAGATAAGAACGATCGAGCAGAGGTTCTTATTACGTAATTAACATTTACTGGTTTTCATAGTTTTCAATCGCAAATGTATACCTGAACATTTATTTTAGTTTTTATTGCAAGATACAAAAAGTTCGAATGGTACATTTGTTAACAATCAACGCTTAGGGAAATGTAATGAAGAAAGTCCACCATTTGAAATTTGTTCGGATGATGTAATTCAATTCGGTGTTGATGTTACTGAAAACAATCGAAAAAGTAATGTAACATTTAGATTTATTTCATGATGGAAATTTGCATTTGCTTTTCTTTGTTTATTAGCTATCCATAATTGTATTATTATGGAAGTTAAACTCTTTCATTCGGATGGCAATGAATGTGTCTCGCGAAAGTGAGTAATTTGACGAATAAATCAGCAGAAAAACAAAGCTTTTTCTTTTTTGTTATTTAGTGCTAATGGTCAATCGTTAGCTCAAATGACAGAACTGGATATAAATACTCAAACTTTATATCAATTAGCACAATATATTCAAGTAAATTAATTTCACTTATAATACTAACGAGGGAACCCCACCAAATGTTCAATCACTTTTGCGTTGAAACTGATTACATTATGTAGCTTCCAAAGAGTTATGAATACGCTGAAAACATTTTGGGCGGATAGCTTATTCTTACGAAAAAAGGCCATTTTTATGGCATTCTTTTATGATTGCCGTGCTCCCCTCAGGAACATTAGAAAAATTGATTTGCGAATTTTGATTTGAAATTTTATATAGCAATAGACCTCAACGGG